TTTTTTTTTTTTTTTCCCAGAAATTGTATTTTTGAAGACAACCAAAAGGAGAATGTATTCTGGGTGTGGCTGCATGTGATTTACCCAATAGCCAAAGTGGGGGGGACGCTGAAGGGGAAAGACAGAGCGTTTTCTGCTGAAGGGAGTGGAAGCTGAGGGCTGCAGTAAGTGATGGGGACCCTATCTGTTCTCTCAGTGCTCCTCTAAATAACTTAAAAGTAGAAGAGAATGGAGGGAGATAATGTGGGGAAAACTTTTCTTTGCATGCTGTGTGTGTGTGTGGAGTGGGTCTTAGCCACCTGGATGAGAAAAAAGGATGGGGACTGGAGGAAGGAGACAGAAAGAGGAAGAAAGCGGGTGATGTTATAAGTTCAGTCCAGAATATTTCTGAAACATCTGGAAAACTAGCGAGATGAGGAGGGAGACAAGAATGAGACTGGGAAGACCAAATGGTCTTGAGAGGGAAATGGGGGCAGCAAGCAAAGTTTCTGTGCTATAGGGGAGTGTATTCCAATTCCTGCCTTAGCTTTGCTCTGACTGCTCTCTCCTCCACTCCACAGGGATGAAGAACTCTGGAACCTGTATACTGTTGTGTCTCTTGGCACTCTTCTTGTCCCCAGCTGGTGAGTCCATATGCCAGGGGGAGGATTTCTTCCCCATCTGGGCCCCACAGAATTTCCTACACAGACTAATATGCAATGACCTAAGAAGAAAGACAGAGACATGTAGATGGGTAGTGAAAGGGGAAGTACCGAGCAAGAAAGACAAGGTGGATATAGGGCTGTAAGGAAAAAATTAGAAACTGGAAACAGGTTCTCATCTGTGACAGTCTCCAGTAAGTACTGGGAGTCACAAGAGGCAGAGGTCCACAGCCTCCACTTCAGGGATGTTTATGTAAGCAAAACAACCAGGTCAGTTTGAGAAAGAGAGTTAGGTGTGCTTTGTGCTTATTGGTGTACCACCTGTGTGTTCAGGGCATTTCCTAGTGCTCCACAAAATTTGTTCTGTCATAGTTATGATATATTTGCTGTCACTAGTGGTTCCTGCTGGAATGACCCCATTTCAGGCCACTCAACTGCTAGAAGGTTTTGTAGTTCTTTGTAGAGCTGTTTTGAGAAACCTAATCTCTGTAGTTCAGACCACTTTTTGCTCCTGGTGTTGGTGAATGTTGTTACTCTGTTTTGTTGCTCCATGATTCTGTTTGCTTGGAGCTATTTTGGCAAAAATTCAGGTGGGATAAAATTTGTTTAAAACAAAAAAAAGAAGCACAGAACCCCCAAAACTAGAGGACAGCATCAGACATTATAGTTGGAAGACTCAGGACAGATAGCGGAAGAAGATGAATTTCAGTGAATGGATAAAGCTTCGTCCAGGAAAGACTC